AGTGGTTATTAGACTTGTTGCTGTTTCATATTGCTTTTTCAGGTGTTAAAGGAGCATATATGTTACTGGATCACAAACATGTTTTAAAAATATTTTGAGAAGTGTGCTATTACAATATCCAGATGGTCCCCAACTTACAATGCTTTGATGTACCATTTTTCAACTTTACAATGGTGCGAATGCAATATATGTTGAGTAAAAATTGTATTCTGAGTACTCATACAGGTTTTTGTTTGGTGCTGTTTTTCTATTTCAGTACAGAAACAGATTCCATTTTTTACTTTTCAGTACAAAATTCAACACATTATATGAGTTATTTAACACTTTATTATAAATTAGGCTTTGCGTTAGATAATTTTTTGCCCAACTGTAGGCTAAAGTGTTCTGAGTGTGTTTAAGGTAAGCTGGGCTAAGCTATGATGTTTGGCAGGTTAGGTGTATTAAATGCATTTTTGACTTATGACATTTTCAACTTACGATAGTTTTATTGGGATGTAATCACATCCTAAGTCAAGGAGCATCTGTAGTTGGCTTCCTTTGTATTTTATTTCATTCATTTAAAAATATCATTCTGATAAGGAGCTCATGTGGTTCACCAGACTTTCAAAAAGGTCTATGGCACCAAAAATGTTCAGAACCCCTACTTTATATTCCCTCAGCTATAACAGGCAGAGGCTGGAGCTGAAGTGAGGTAGAAATAGGGAGAACTCAGGAATCCTGCATTCTAATCCCAGCTCCATCATCCACTTAGCTGTGTGACCAAGGGTATAGCTCTTCATCTTTTGAGACTTCTGCCCCTGCTAGTTCACAGTGTGTGGTGAAGATTAAGTGACATAATGCCTGTGCACAGAGTTGCTTTGAAAACACCTTAAAGCACCATATACCATATAAGGTATTTATTGAGGAATAGTAGCAAGTTGTGGTTTCAGAGGTCTGATGCCACAGAGGACTATTAATTTTACGGTATTCTCATATTCAAGCAGACTTGGAATGAATGCAGTTGGGCAGAACACTCTTTAATATGTCCTGTATACCATTCCCACCCAAGATCTGATGTCATCTCCATAGGGCTCTATAGCCTTGACTGCTCATACCTGTGTGTAATCAATTCCTTTTCTTTCCTTCTGTTGCCTCAATAATTAATTGCTTTAGTATGCCTTTGAGGTCGTCCTCCCAGATAGAAAACTTAGGCAACTTAGACTTTCAAAGCTACTGTCAAACTGAAAAACTGAAAAGATGTTATGGATCGTGGGAAATGGGAGAGGAGATAGGATCTCCTTGGTCCTCTTGTTAATGGGATGTGGTCTATCCCGTAATGGGAGTGAGTAGAATTGGAAGGATACTGAGACTGTATCAGAAGACAGTAGAAGGAAATTTCCTCCCTGTGTTTGGCTTGGGCCAGGGTACTTAACTCTAATGGAGCATTGTTCAGTAAAATCTCCTGAATTTCTCTAAGCCAGCAAGTCTCCTTCTTTTAAGTTACTGTGTGGCCTTATGGGATCCCCATTACTATGAAGTTAGCCCCGGTATCATTAAAGCTTTGTTGATATGACCATTGGTTGGATAATGATTATAGCTATTTGTTGAGCACTTACTTTGCCAGGCATAGTACTGGGCACTTTACATTGATCATAAATGAATTTACACTTTACATCACTCATAAATGAAACTTCCAGGGAGATATACTAAGATTTTCACTTTATAGTTTTAAAAAAGGCTCAGAGAAGTGACAGTGTTATAAAGCAAACTGGGGCACCATGACTGTGTCATTTAGCAGGCTCCCCTACCAGAATGTAAGCTCTTGAGGGAAGTGGTCATGTTTATATATATATACATATACGTTTACACATACACACACACACACACACACACACACACACGTATATGTATCTCCTGGTAAGTAGGAATCACTTACATATGTATATCCTGGTAAGTAGGAATCACTAAATAATATTAGCTTTTACTATTAGTGCATATGAATGTAGTTTATTTATTTATTTATTTTTTTGAGATAGAGTCTTGCTGTTGCGCAGGCTGGAGTGTGGTGGCACGATCTTGGCTCACTGCAACCTCTGCTTCCCAAGTTCAAGTGATTCTCCTGCCTCAGTCTCCCATGTAGCTGGGATTTCAGGTGTGCATCACCATGCCCGGCTAATTTTTGTATTTTTTTTAGTAGAGACAGTTTCACCATGTTGGTCAGGCTGGTCTCAAACCCCTGTCCTCAAGAGATCTGCCTGCCTTGGCCTCCCAAAGTGCTAGGATTACGGGCGTAAGCCACTGCGCCTGGCCTGAATGTAGTTTAAAATGCTACACAAATACTCATGTGATAAACCTTGACTAAACAGCTACAGGGTATGGGTTTCTGGGGATATGGCAGTAAACAAGACCAATGAGAACCATACTCTCATGCAACTTATACTCTGAGGGTAGGGTGGAGGCATAGATAGTAATAATACAGGTCTCAAGAGCAAGAGGTCATTACTACCTTATCCACACCATTCGTGGGTGGTCAGCACTGAATATTTTCACAATTAGCTTTTATGGCTTTGGCTAAATATGTAAGTTCAGTGTGTCGCAGCTACCCTTCTAGCTTTTTGAAGGCAGGGCCAGCCATGCTCCTTTTGTGTCCCATTGTGCCTGATAGTGTTGGGACAGAGTGAATGTTTGGAATATGTTCAAACAGATAAATTTCATCTCTTGAAGTCAAGAAACATGATGTGGCCCCACAGTTGTATGTATGAACACAAAAAACTTTTTTTTTTTTTGAGACAGAGTCTCACTCTCTGTCGCCCAGGCTGGAGTGTCGTGGTGCGATCTTGGCTCACTGCAACCTCTGCCTCAAGTGATTCTCCTGCCTCAGCCTCTTAAGTAGCTGGGATTATAGGTGCCCACCAGCACACCTGGCTAATTTTTGCATTTTTAGTAGAGATGTGGGTCTCACCATGTTGGCCAGGCTGGTCTCAAATTCCTGACCTCACGTGATCCACTTGCCTTGGCCTCCCAAAGTGCTGGGATCACAGGTGTGAACCACTGCTTCTGGCCCACAAAAACGTGTTTTAAAAAATGTGGGTAAGGTCATGAAATTTGGCTGAATCACAATCATAACTCTTACTGAGAACTCACTGTGGGCCAAGCACTGGTTGAACAATTTGCAGACGCTATCTTGTTGACTTTTTCCCACCATTCTGTGAGGTGGGTACTATTTCTTCTGAATTTTGCCTGTAAGGAAATTGAAGCACTCATATCCATGTAACTCGCCTGAAGACACACAGACAGAGACTTTGGGCATCATGACTACCTAATAGGTGCTCAGCAGATGGTAGCAATTGTGGTAAAAAATGAAGCCATATCTCTACCTGATGTATCATCTAAGACAGCTAAGAATCCCAAGGGCTCACACTGTTCTACTGGATGAGTTAAAAGTTCTTGCACATTTATGCTATCTTTTCAAATAATAGTTTATTCTGCCTTATGTGAAAATTTTGGGCCCAAATTTAAAAATACTCTGTATAAGTTGAATGCAGATATGTCTTTAATTTTCTATGAAAAATAGCTCATTTGCATTGAAGATATTTAACAAGCAACTAAAGTCAGAATTAGAGATGTCACAGGACTAGGGAAAGAAATAAAACAATCATTTGTAAAATAAAAGAAAGCTTCTATTCATTATTATATTGAAGAAAAGCTAACTACTGTATCTCATAAACATAACAAAACAGCAATATTTCAAAATTCTGGAGGAACAACAGAACCATAAATAGTACTGAGACTTTGCAGGAAAAAGCAGCTTCATTAATAGATTTCTATGATGGATGAAAAGGTTTGTGAGAGATAGTATGTGCTACAATTTGATTGTGTAATATAATGCATATTCATATCCATATATCTCTATATATCTATGCTTATCTGTATATAGACATATATGAGAGTGATCTATTTATTTTAGGGAATTGGCTCTTGCAGTTTCGGGGGCCGGCAAGCTGGAGATTTGTAGGGCAGGCCAGCAGGCTGGAAGTTCTGGCAGGATTTGGATGCTGCAGTTTTGAGTCCAAAGACAGTCTTGAAGCAGAATTCCCTCAGAGGGGACTTCAGTCCTTTCTCTTAATGCCTTCAGCTGATCAGATGAGGTCCATCCACATTATAATGGGTAATCTGTTTTACTCAAAGTCTACCGGCTTAAATGTTAATCACATCTAAAATATACCTTCACAGCAACATCTAGACTGGTGTTTGACCAAGCAACTGGGCACTATAGCCCAGCCAAGTTGCCGCATAAAATTAACCATAACAACTACTATGCTCAAGCAAAGTGGGACGAGTATAGCTATACTAAATTGGCAGGAGTAACAGAAACAGACAATCTGCAACATAAGTTGATTCAGTGAAGGAGAATAAGGTGTTTAGGTGTGGCAGCTATTGCTTTACAACAAGTTTTAATGTATTAATATCATGGTAAGGAGCTTGATTTGTTTCTTTTAGTTTTTTAAGTTCTGGGGTACATGTGCAGGATGTGCAGGTTTGTTACATAGGTGAACATGTGCCATTGTGGTTTGCTGCACCTATCAACCCATCACCTAGGTGTTAAGCGTGGCATGCATTAGCTTTTTCCTAGTGCTCCCTGCTAAAAATTAATGTAATTTACTTAAACAAGAAATAACTGATAAGTGGAAAGTTTCCCTTGATTTCATAGATATTATTAAAATTAGGTATTCCAAGAGCTCCTGAGACTGATGAATCAAAGCCTTCTGCAGCATTGATGAGAGATGCATCCGTGAGGAAGCTAGTGTAAAATTAACCCTAGCTTCCCGCTGGTGCCACAGCAGGGTGCTTGAGGGGGAAGCCAATTTTCAGCATGAATGGGCTGCTGTGGAACCCTACTTCCAGTTGTCAAGGCAGAGTTGGAATCTTTTTCCAACATCCTAGTAACCCACAGGAAGAAACTGAGATGATCTACTAATGGATTACATAGAGAGTAAGTTATTAAAAACAGAACACAAAACTGAGGTATAAAAAGGAATATTTATCTTTTAAAAATACAACTTTGAACACTACTGGCATCTCATTTACAAAGTATTTTCTTGAAATACTCTCCATTGGCGTTGCTTATTCAGTACATTCTTTTATCTTCAATAGAGACTCAAGGGAGGGCATACTTGCATTATTTTACGTACCACAGCCACCACCACACACAACAAAGACCATCTCTGTTTCAGGATATTCACCTCAAACCTCCATCCTCTCCGTTTCCTTTCCACCAATCAGAAGTTACTGAATGGTCCACTCAAATGATGTCATTGCAATTTGCCGACCGACACTACAGAACTGGAGGTGTCTCTGGCAATCCGCACTCCAGGTGGAGCTGACCTATTTGTAGGAAGCCTCACACATCCTGGCTCATTATTTGTTCATTGATTCATCACTATTAATACTCATATGAAGTCTCTGCAAACATTCAGCATGAAGTAAACATAGTATTTACAGCAGTACACAGTTTACAATTCAATACACTGACAACAGAAGCAAAGGGACCAACAGACTGTAAGAGGCTAGAAGGGAAAGAATATCAACATAAATCCCTTCTGCCACTGTGTGTGTGCGTGCATGTGTTTGTGCCCACACACGAATGTGTTTTAATTCACAGAAAACTGAACATGCCCTCCTTTAAAAGCAGACTATTTACAAGTGATTCTGAATAGCACGAACACATCCCAGTCATACTGGATATTTGTTTCTGCAAACACATCTGGATGTACATTTCACAATTCTGAAGCAGATTTTTAATGTGATATGTTAGAGAAAACAACTTTGGAACTTTGGAACAACTTTTGGTTCGTAGTAATTTTGCAAAAAGCCACAACCATGCTTTGTCGTTTAAAAGGTGAACCTGGTCAGGCACCTTCTAGAAACACTGATGTGTTGTTTATTTACTGCTCTACTGGGGATTGGAAAGACAATGACAGTTACACAGAGGATTTAACGCTGCTCTCATCCCTTTCGCCAGTGGCAACATTAATGTAAAGAGAAGTTTAGAAACACAAATCACATACAAATCATCAAAACATTTCAGTTAACAGTGTTTGAAAAAATACCAAAGTCTACACTAGTAGTACAGACATTGAAAACACTCCAGATACTGTTTAGCCTCAGGACTTTTGCAACCAATTGACAGAAAGGGGAGGAAGTTACAGCACTTGCGGTTTGAGGCAATTTCTCTTTAGGGTCTGTAGCTTGAGGTGCTGTCCTAGGATCCTTATTTTAACTTGAAACATTTTCCAGGAATGAATTGACAAATTCAAAGCAATTTCTACTTGAAAATCATTAAAAATACAAATCACTTTCTATGCTTGTGCAACACATACGTATATATTCGGGATCCCAAGTTGTTAGGCAAAGAGATTTAGGTCAGTTTCAAGCCCTCAAAGCCACAGAATTTCCACCTCTTTTCCAGGCTGGCTCCAACTCCAGTCATTTCCTGCTTGAAGGTATGCTGGAGTCTACCCATGAGACGCTCCACATCGCTGGTGCAGATCTGTGGGACAGAGAGAACATCTCCATTCAAAACCACTTCTATTTTCCTAATCTTCCTTCCCAGTATTGCCTACTTTAGAATGCTGATATGTCTGTGTATGTGTTGCAGGGGCATTTAACCTCCTCCCGCTCCTTGTGCCTTTGTGTGTGTTGGCAAAGTGGCTTCCAGCCAGCAGTATTCCTCTGCTATGACCACCAGACAGGGTCTGCTGAGTTCTTATTGGAAAGAGATGGGGTCAGTCGTGTGGAAAGGCCTGGGTTTGCAAGCAGCTGAATGATGGCTGCACAGTGCTGGTGATGCTGTATGCAGGTCCTGTGAAGCTGCTGAGACTTTTGGGAGGGGAGGAAGGTAGAAATGGCTGCCACCAGAGCAGAGACCCTGGTGCATTAGTTCATAATGGAGAAGTAACAGGAATGGGGAATGCTCTGTGTTCCTACTTCCGTGCATTATCTTTCTCTCCCTACTTCGCTCTCTCTCTCTCTCTCTCTCTCTCTCTCTCTCTCTCTCTCTCTCTCTCTCTCTCTCTCTCACACACACACACACACACACATACACGCCCTCAATACAAAAACAGAAACAAAAACAAATCTGTGGACTCCTTTAGGGCTTGTTTTTGGTGGTCATCTTTACATTAGTAGAGTTAGTAAGTTACCCTCCTCACCGTGAGCTTTGGTACCTCAGGCTCTCTTTGGGAGGCCCTGGCACTACTCTTGCAGAAGTTGCTAAGTGGGAGCTAGGCCTAGGCTAAGGAGCGCAGTCATGCCTTCTTCCCAGTGCTGGCAGTAGACTGTATCCAGTCAAGTGAATGAAGCACATTCCAGTGTATCATATAGAGTAGAATCCCCCTTTCAGAAAACATAGGTAATGTTTGTAGATATATACATTTAATATAGATACAGCATACTTTCAGGAAAGGGTCTGAAATATGTGCCAAACGGTTAACAGTGGTTATCCTTGAGGAGTGGGATTGTGGGTGGTAACTTTCACTTTCCCTTTACTGAATTTCTATACTGCTTACATTTTGAAGATAATGTGCATGTATTATTTTGTAAATTAAAAAAGAAACAGATGGTTTTACTGACGTATAGTTCAATTTCATACCATTGTAAAGGACTCTTGGTCCTAGTATTCACATTCCATCCTCCCCTTCACTGCCAAATGCGCTATTTAATTGCAGAATAGCATCACTTCCCAGAGGGAAATGAGGGGGGAGCGCTGGCTAGAATGAAAGCAAATGCCATTGAAGAGGATGTATCACCACAGCTGGGATATGGTTAGAACAATAAGATTCCCAAGTGCGCCACTGCCTTTGTTAAGATGACATATGCTTAAGTTACTTAACATTTAGGACAGCACCTATATTCAATGACACTTCTCAAAAGGCCCAGATTCTATGAAATAGGGAGTACAATTTATGGGCAGATTTACCTGAATGCTGCTTCTGAAAAAAAAAAAAACGTATCCTGAGCTGATTCATTCTGAGGAGTCAAGAGTCCTCAGTATGCCTCTTAGAGGCATCTTTGATTTCTTAGGGAATGAGCACTTACCCCTGCTCCAGATGCCCTAGGAGTTCCCCCAAAGGATAGCATCCAGAGAAGGAAATGGACCATAAGATCATCTGTGAGCAAATATTCAGTCTGTGGTACAGAGGCCCTCAGCTCATTGCTCCATCTTTTTTTCGTTTTGTTTTGTTTTTGGCCCCTGCCTCCCTTGTATTGTAATAGACAACAGCACGGGTGATGATGGGAGAGGTGGATGGAGTAAGACTTCCCATTTTGAAAATGAACATTTACTTATGGCTAAAAACCCAGGACAAAAGTTTGATGGGGCCTGGTGTGGTGGCTCATACCTGTAATCCCAGCACTTTGGGAGGCTGAGGCAGGCGGCTTGCTTGAATCCAGGAGTTCAAGACTAGCCCGGGTAACATGGCAAAACCCCATGTGTATAAAAAATACAAAAATTAGCCAGGTGTGGTGGCATGCGTCTGTAGTTCCAGCTACTCAGGAAGCTGAGGTGGGAGGATTGCTTGAGCCCAAGAGGTTGAGGCTGCAGTGACCTGTGATCTCACAAATGCACTCTGGCCCAGGCAGCAGAGTGAGACCCTGTCTCTAAAAAAAAAGTCTGATGGGTAAGAAAGCTGATATGGGTTGGTTTGCAGCTTATAGGTAAATTAAGAGAAGAGAGGAAAAGTCTTCTAAGATGTATGTTGGAAATAGGACGGTCAACTTACTCAAGTTTGCCTGAGACTGTCCTGGTTTTAACATCAAAAGTCTCAAGTCCCAGGAAACCCTTCAGTCCCCAGCAAACCAGGACAAATGGTCACTCCACTTGCAAGGGGGAAGTTCTACACTGAATCACTGAATCACAGTGAGAGAGCAGGTGAGGGAAACTTCCTTAAAGCAATAACTAATGACTTATTTACGCTTCAGGGGAGTCAGGGCAGCTGTTGACAAAGAACCCTACATCCCCTTGCATCCCCATTTTAGGCCCCCATATACCTTATTATCAAGACGTTGCAAGTAGGAACAGATGTATTCAATGCTTGCTCCAAATGGGTGAACATGAAGGAATGTGGAGATAATCCCTATAGAGGCAAGAGCATGGAGATTACACTTGAGCCTTGTATTCCTCGAGGTACTACATGACAGTGAATAGCAAAAGCTGACTCATATGTACAACAGAAATATACTGGACGCTATTCTAAATTTGCCTATATTGTACTCATTTAATCTTTATAACAATCCTGTGAGGTGGATATTGTCATCCCCATTTCATAGCTGAGGACACTGATGCACTAAAAGTCCGTGGCAGACCTGGTACTGGAACCCAGACAGTCACTGTTAACTACTACACACACTTCCTCTTACTGTGCTGTGTGATATGTAGACAAGCTGGCATTTGAGGAGTCACTTTCATTACTTGTGATGGCTAAACACCGTCTGAATTCAAGGATTTTACCATGAGTGTACACTGTGCTGGGCTTTTGCAGTTCCTTCACAGTCTTCAAATTAGACTTTAGCCTCTTACGCATTAATAACGCCTTGTTGTTGTGGTAAACGTACAAATCATGTACTTTCTTGATTAACCTTGTGCCTCTCACAAGAAAGTCGGCTGATTTTATTTGGGTTTTATTTTCTGAGTAGCTCTGTAAAGAAAAGCCAAACATTTCGTTCATGGCTAACTCAAGTGGTCACTAGCATTCTGTGCTTAGAGCCTCAAATCTCTTTGTGTAACAATATTCTTACAGCAGTTTACAGCTTCCAGGAACGCCCTTGATTTCAACTTAGCCCGACTCTGGGGTGACTGGAGCTTCACATGCAGCCTTGATTGTTCTGGCCATCGGGTTAATTGTTCTAATACTTCTTTCTCTGGCAACAGGTGGAAAACAGATTGTTCAAAAGCATAATATTTCTTTCTTTAAATTTTTTTTGAGTTCTCCTCCTTTCATAAGTTCTTAGGTGCATCAACCCAGAATTGAGTTTGTTGAAAATTGCCAGGAAATAAAAGCAAAATTTGATTTGGTTTCTCGACTACAACTTGTCTGTCCCTTTAAGAGGCTGACAAAGACTAGCAGAGGTTTAAACTGTAGTTTTAAGTTCAGTCAGGAGGGTGAGTTGGGGAGGAGTTCCAGAAGGAACTGATAGCAGTGCTCAAAATCTGTTCAAAAGGGATGCTATTACTTTAACATTACTTCATTCTTAAATGACTAGGTATATTGAATTTCTGAACACGGATTCTGGCTGAGAAACTTAAATTCTGAAGAAGACAGTCCATGTTTGAAGAAATTCTAGATCTCCTGGCCAAGACAAGCTGTCAAATACTAAGAAATAACTGCGTAGGTTTAAAAACATTCAGCGATTTTGTGGGTTCACACCCAAAAAGTCGATTGAAAAAATAGATTTTCTTTTCTCTGTGCCAGCCCAAGACTACCTTCTTGAAAAAACAAAACAAGAAACACTTATTTTAAGAATTTTTTTCTAAGATTATCCATTCACACAGGCTTCCTTCTATCCCCAGCATTTCTCTGACAGGTCTCCCTGTTGCCATGCCAATTTGTTAAGAACTTTGAATTGGAAGACGTTAATAAGTTGTAATAAGTTGTCACTTTTCCTGAAGACTCAATGGCAGGTCCCCCTGTGCATCTTTATTAACATATCAAATTGTTAAATCTGAGGATAATATCCATTACCAAAGCAGGCAGAGATATCTTAAAAATATGCAGAAGCCAGTCAGTGTGGAGGGCTTTTGAGACTCGAGTGAGGCTACTGTATAGTTCAGCTGCCTACAAGGCAACTGGGATTATCTGCTGTGGCTCAAGACCAGCCACTCTTAAATGATTAGCCCCTCTTAAATATTTTAGAGCCTCAATCTGCCACTGTTCTCCAAATGGAATACAAAGTTAGCCAGCATTTGTGAACAGTGCTGTGAAGTGGAAAATGGTTACTACCTACTGAGGGCTTACTATGGGCCAGGCACTATACTAAGTAATGTAGGTGAGTCATCATATTTAATACTCACAACTGCCCTTTGAGGTAGGTAATATCATTAGATCCATTTTGCAGATGAAGAAACTGAAGCTCAGAAAAGAAATGGTGGGGTCAAGATGGGAAGCCAGATCTGTCTGATTCCTTAACCGTATGTGCCATCTTGCCTCTCTGAATGAATTTTTACAGAGAGCAATGCTAGCATTGACCTCATCAAAGCCTGTTACTCTCCTGAGTCATCTACCATTGTGATATAATTAAAAAGTAAATATCTGGTCTTTGTCCCTAGTCCCTGGGACAGATAGCTCCTAAAAACCTTGAAATTTCTGGAGTGGTAGGAGTTGAGATGACTGGTAACTGGGGGCCCCTTACAGTTTTAGAACTGGTGCTGGCCACCAGAAAGACTTAGGCATGATTAAAGAGTTGGAACATCAGGGAAGAGAGAGGGGCTGGAGATTGAGGTAATCACCGATGGCCAGTGATTTCATCAATCATGCCTATATAATGAAGCCTCCATAAAAACCCTGGAATGACAGGGTTCAGAGAGGTTTCTGGTTGGCGAACACATCAAGATGCACACCCAAAAAAGGTATAGAAACTCTGCATACCCCTTCCCAGTACCTTGCTCTATGCACCTCGTCCATTGTATCCTTTATACTGAATTGGTAAGAGTAAGTAAGGCACTTTCCTGAGTTCTGTGAGCGATTCTAGCAAATTATCAAACCTGGGGCAGGTATTGTGGGAACCCCTGACTTTGCAGCCAAATTAGACAGAAGTAGAGGAAACGTGGAGACCCTACATTTAAGACTGGCATCTATAGGGAGGGCAGTCTTCTAGGACTGAGCCCTTAAACCCATAGAGTCTAATGTTAAACTAACTTTGGGTAGTGAGTGTGAGGACGGAATTAAACTGTAGGACACCCAGTTGGTATCGAAGAATTGGAGATGTGGTGTTGAAAAAGACACCATGTATTTGGTGTCAGAAGGTTATAAAACAAACAAAAAATCCCTTATCACTTGGTCTCAGAAGTGTTGAAAAAATAACCAGTAACCTGGAAAACTTCGAGAGGCATATACTTGCTCCGGAGGCTCTCTGGAAAAGCTCTTTGCCAAGTAGGGTCTGCACTAGCCCCCTCAGTGGACATGAGAGGGCTTAGCTGTCCTTGTACAGAGATTTAAAAAAATCTACAATGTGTTTCTCCAACTGACCCCTTTTAGCATAGTGCTTGTACTGACATGCCTGACTGCTTGACATGGCAGTGGCTACAAGGAGTCTGAAGGGGGCTGGCAGCTGCTGTTAAATTTGGAAATTTGTACTTGTTCTTCACCCATCATCTTCAGAACTCTGAGTTCTTGCACTACTGTGCTTCATAAATGCTTGGCGTGTGCTTATTAATCTTAGGTGAAGCCCTCCCCTCCTCCATTGTATCTATGTATTATACGTGGTATGTGTGCATTAGCTTTCTTACCCACTAGCAGTGCTTCACGTTCAGATTTGATAGGACTGCTGTTCATCGTCTTCTCAAGAGGGTAGTCGCTGTCCTGGTTTGATGTACCCAGCCTAGAAGTACGGCTTTCCTGTGGAAATAACATGCTTCCTGGGTCAGTTCACTTTATTTGGCAAAAGAGTTGGCTTCAATTAACTACACAACAGGTAACTTAACACAGGACCATAAAAGCAATGCTGTTCAATTTGGATTACTGAATGGGAGGAAAATAGCATAAATTACAAAAGCATCACAGATATTTCAAACCTTGTTTATAGGGCTCCAAAACACAGAAACATTTAAACATTTACCTTCACTAGATTTTTTTTTCTGCCTTCATCTTTCTTGACTCTATACAAGCAATCTGGGCAACTAAACCCAACATTTATGGTATACTAACAAGATGCTAGGCACTGTTAGATAAGTATTATCTCCATTCTACAGATGAGAAAAATGAGGCTCAGGTAAATTGGCTAAGCTCAAACTGAAAGGAAATGGAGCCAGGATTTCATCCCACTGTTAAAAGGACCATTGTTTTTTTTTTTTAAATTTAATTCTAGGTCCACACTCTGTTAACGGTAAGCCCCACCTCAGTGGAGAATCTACATTGGCTGCATTGCCAATCCACTCACAGTTAATCAACTGGTGATTTTTGAACTAAACATTAGAGCTTTCATTGACTAGCATCTCTCTGTTTCTCTCTCTCTCTCTCTCCCCCCTCCTTCTCTGATAAGGACATTATCAGAATATTCCTGACTTTACAGCAAGAAAATAGCATTAGTCAATGGCCTTCTTTGCTGTGGAAAGTTTTTCCCTTTCAGAGTGTAGCAGGAAGGTTTCATAAGAGAAACTCAGGTGAATTCCGTGACCAGCAATCAAACTGAAAAATACCTCCAGACCTTTCATAGCTGTTTCTTTCTTTCTTTGGGTACTGAGAATATCTTTTCTGTTTTTATAAATGTGAAGGGAAAGCTTTCAGAAGAAGGAATAAAAGAAATCACTACTTCTGTCTTTTACTGCTGAAAAGAAAATGCTGCTGAAATGCTCCTTGGGGGTCATATCATGACTGATTCAGATGCATTTTCACTTCTTCCCTTCCACAAACGCTTAGCAGGGACAGGATTTCTTCTGTTTTCTTTAAAGATGTCTTCAAAGCTTCCAGGATGCTGTCTCTGAATGAAATGAATAGTCTATACTGCAAGACATGTTGTTTTGTGAATTTACAGGCTTACTGGCTGTAATCAGAGGGGAACCCTTTCTTGATGAACCTATTCAATCTTTGGCCTTTAGATTTCAATCCAGACAGTAACCATTATAACAAGTTTGATTTAAACTACTAGCTTACCTCTAAGCCACGGGCTTCACATCTGCTTCGACCCCCTTAAAACATTAAATGATATGGTAAGCCGTTTCTTAAGTGTGAGAGTTTAACAGATTGTGGTTGATTTAGATGTGAAAATATTCTGAGAAGTTTTAACCATCTTGAATAAAACTGCAGCCTTATTTCAACCTTACTTCAATTTTATTATAGCCGGCATTTAAAAAATTAGAAGGTACACTGAAGGGATGCTTACCACCTTGAATTTTACTAGCAGATTCAAAGAGCTTAGTTCTTTCCGCAGTAAGACAGACATAAGTCACATTGTTATATTGCAAAACACTGACAATAACTCACCCTGTAGCTTACTGTCAAGAAACCCAAAGAAAAGCAAATTTAAAAAAAGATCCCTCCTCACCAAAACTTATTGCTTTCCTTTCAACCTGAAATTATTTTTGCAGTCTAATGCGATGGTACTTTGCTTCCTAACCTAATTGTGTCAGGTTAAAATATTTGGTCACAAATCAGCTTCCCAGAGAAGATCACTTCATAATGAACTGTCATGAATTTCTCTAAAAGAAGTTTTGCTTAAAATAACAGGAAAAACATATTTTGACTCGCTGATTTTTGGATCATCCGTTGGATCTTTTCCCCTGTCCTCATCAGCCACCACTTCATGGTCTATTCAGTTTCCAAATGAGAAACACTTGTCCTTAGGCACCATATGGCAAGTTTCTTCTATGCCATTTGACCTCTTACTTCCTTACATGAAATACTTTACAAAGCAGAAAGCTACTTACACACACACACAAAATATCCTTAGGTCAAATCGTGATGTCAACCCTGAAGAGTAATTCTAAAGCATAATGTCATGAGCATAACCCCATATATATCTAGTCTTCTGGCTACATATTCCATTTTACGCGGGAAGCAAAACAGAGCTATGTGGCAGCTCTGGGACATTTTAAAAGCCCTGATGGTATGAGAAAAGTCCTGATAAGTAGAGCAGCTTTGGCACTTTTCAATTAAATGCTTGACAAATGAATTTCTCTGGGATTGTGCTTGTTTCTTTAATAGTGCCCACAAAACTGGAAAGTGAGTTGGTTTTATGAAGTGGAAAAATTAAAAGTACGTTGCAAATGGCCTCTAGAAGAAAACATTTTCAATCATTTGTCTCAACTACACCAAGGTTGCCAGTTCTTAATGGCACTCTAGGGGAAGGCATTGTGCTGATAAACACATTCAGGGCCTGTGTGCTCTGCATCTTCCTGAGCTGAGAACAGAAAATACAGAGAATGCGCTCTTGAGGAACTCTGTCACTGTTGATTTCTGACTCTTGGTTCAAGCTCCTAATCTTCTGGTCAATGGGCTTCTGTTTTCAGAGGACAACTTCAGCTTAATGTTGATGCATTGAGGCAACTGGAGAGGTTGACTTTATACATCTTGAATAGAAGGGGCACCTGATTCATGGTTGCAATACATGATTCCATCTAGATGTTAGACTCTCTGGTCCTCATTGGTGGTTTTTATTGCTGAGACCTCTCACTTAATAAAGTCCCATCTTAGCTTCTAGCTTTAGAATACTGTGTCTCATTTTCCCCCAAGGTTTCCCTCCTCTTGGTGTTGGCTATTACTCTCATCTCAGCTGCTTCTTATTACACTAAATGGACTAGCTGCAAGGAAATGTCATGTGCTAGCTGCACTTGTGTTTCTTCCTTTAATGAAATGCTCAATTAAAAGTACTTTGTGTCATGTGAGTTTTCGATGTTGCTATTTGCTTGACAAGATGAAGCAGGCAAGAGGTGCACCCTCTGGTCTTCTTCAAGAGAGAAGACTGAGGAATTTTAGGGATGAATTGACTTCTTATCCATTGAAAGGTATGCATTCAAGAAGACTTAGAAATGCCAAGGACTCATACATAAAAGCAAAGCCCTTAATATGAGAATTACCCCTGAGGGGGGCTTTTAATCCTCAGTCAGCCAGATATTCCCCATTAATTTCTAGAGCAGTAGCTTCCAGGGCATTTTCACTGTCACTGAAAAGTAAGTAAAGAGGCAAGGAAAAAGGTTCACTTAGGGCACAAGTACCTTTTCTTTAAGATTTTCCAACATTTTTTCCACCTGTAACTTGTCATCTTTGAGTTTTTCAAGTTCAGCTTCTTTCTTTTTGTATTCCTCTTGGACTTTAAGTAGATGCTACCAGAAAGACCAAAGACAATCAATGTATTAATTAAGGAGCCACACTTCATTTAAATTCCCTGGCTGAAGTTAGATATCAGGTGGGCCTGCCTCACTTTCCTCCAGCACACACAACCATTTTTCCATACAGAGATTGGGAAAATCATGATACTTTTCACTTTACATTATTTTATATGGCTTTTCCGAAATTCCTTTGAACTTGTTAATATTTTAGAAAGGTCCTGAGAAACTAATTGATCCAGTCACTTAACTTCTTTCCTATTCTGGCCAGGGGTCAGAGTAGGGTGCAGTTAATACTGTGTGAGCAACGTTTTGATTGCTGCATAGAAGTAAATGTAATGTTGTAAAACATTCTTGCAAATAGCCATTTGCCAAGCCAAGTTCAATTTCTGTGAGGAAAGTAGTAAAGAATCCAAATTTTATGTATGTTAGTTTCCATATAAGTAGGCAGGAAGCTATATTTGGCATTATTAATAATTTCTTTTTTAACTATCATCATTTTTTTTATTTCTGACGTTTAAAAAAATTATTTATTATTCTTTAAGTTCTGGGGTACATGTGCAGATCATGCAGGTTTGTTACATAGGTATACACGTGCCATGGTGGTGGTTTGCTGCATCCATTGCCCTGTCATCTACATTAGGTATTTCTCCTAATGCTATCCCTCCCAAATCCCCCCATCCCCTGCTATTCCTCCCCTAGCCCCCCACCCCCAGGCCCTGGTGTGTGATGTTCCCCTCCCTGGATCTGTGTGTTCTAATTGTTCGACACCCACCTACGAGTGAGAACATGTGGTGTTTGGTTTTCTGTTCTTATGTCAGTTTGCTGAGAATGATGGCTTCCAGATTCATCCATGTCCATGCAAAGGACAGGAACTCATACTTTTTTATGGCTGCATAGTATTCCATGGTGTATATGTGCCACAATTTCTTTATCTAGTCTATCATTGATGGGCATTTTGGTTGGTGCCAAGTCTTTGCTATTGTGAACAGTGCTGCAATAAACATACATGTTCATGTGTCTTTATAATAGAATGATTTATAATCCTTTGGGTATACACCCAGTAATGGAATTGCTGGGTCAAATGGTATTTCTATTTCTAGATCCTTGAGGAATCGTCACACTGTCTTCCACAATGGTTGAATTAATTTACACTCCCACTAACAGTGTAAAAGTGTTCCTATTTCTCCACATCCTCTGCAACATCTGTTGTCTCCTGATTTTTTAATGATCACCATTCTAACTGGTGTGAGGTGGTATCTCAACATGGTTTTGATTTGCATTTCTCTAATGAACAGTGACGATGGACTTTTTTCACATTTGTTATCTGTATAAATGTCTTCTTTTGAAAAATATCTGTTCATATCCTTTGATCACTTTTTGATGGGGTTGTTTTTTCTTGTAAATTTGTTTAAGTTCTCTGTTGATTCTGGATATTAGCCCTTTGTCAGATGGGTAGATTGCAAGCATTTTTTCCCATTCTGTTGGTTGCCAGTTCACTCTATTGGCAGTTTATTTTGCTGTGCGGAAGCTCTTAAGTTTAATTAGATCCCATTTGTCTATCTCGGCTTTTGTTGCCATTGCTTTTGATGTTTTAGTCATGAAGTCCTTGCTCATGTCTATGTCCTGAATGGTGTTGCCTAGCTTTTCTTCTAGAGTTTTTATGGTGTTAGGCCTCATGTTTACATCTTTAATCCATCTAGAGTTAATTTTTGTATAAGATGTAAGGAAGGAATCCAGTTTCAGCTTTCTGCGTATTTATTGAGTGCCTAACATGTACTAAGCATTGTGTATGATCTCATTTAAGCCTCACAATGACCCTATGATACTATTATCCCTAAGGCTTGAAGAGGTTAAGTGGCTTCCCTAAGGCCATTCAGATAGTTGGTGGTAGAACTGGAATTTAAAACCAGGTTGGGTCTACCCCAGAGTTCATGTTCTTACACGCTTTATCATACTCGACATCTTTTAAGATAAGACGGGGGAAATTTTATCATTGTTTATAAGGCATTTTTTCAATACAAAATAATCGAATGAGTGAAATTAATTTTTAAGAGGTAGAGACCTAATTCTCACTGAAGTCTCTGGAGTGATGAAATAAAATTTCATCATTTTTGAATTGCATTTAAGTAGCAGAACTATCCTTATGTGAAATGGTTTGAAAATCAAAGAGGGGGAAAAACAGCAACAACAAAAATGTTTCTGAAGTCTTGTCTTTCAGAGGCTTGCAAAAGACCACTGGAAGGGCTAAAAAGCATGGTACAATGCATACTGTCAATGTTATTTGAAGTGTAGGTGAGGAGGTGCATTTTTTTCATAGAAAGATCTCTGATATAATTTACATGTTCTAATTAAACTCCATGGTGATGGTAAAAGGAAGGTAAGCATTACTTCACACATTTTGTTAATAGAAAAGGCAAAATATTAATGTCATATTACTTGTTGTACAGGAGACAGTGGTGGCAGAAAGAATAAAATAGGGTTCCTAGTTCCAAAAGAGACCCCGTTCATGATTTGTAATTTCCAACCAGCAATTAGCTTTGCCCTAGATAATTTCAAGGAATACAGTTAAAAACTGTTGCACGATTTAAGGTGTAAGGACAGTGGCTGGTGGTCTAGCATGACAGAAAATGACACTGCGCTTACTCGGAAGCAATACTCCTTTACTGTAGTGAAAGCAGCTGTCGATATCTTTTAAACTGTAAGATCACTCCTAGATGTTGAACATCTGCTACACTATGTTTTCTGTGAATGCAAGCACAGTTGGTACATTTATTTACTTTACTTTTTACGCTTTGAATTATGCACAGGTAAACTCATTCGCATAAGTGACTGTTAATACAAACCAAAATAAAAACAAATTGGTATTATGAGCTTAAAGCATTGGCACTTAAAAATGTATAATGTACCTACTTCTACTCAAATCAAGGGTAGATTCCTGCCATTCCTTTTAAAAGGCTGTATTTCTTGGTATTCTATCAACTAGATACTTGTTCATCAGCACTTTTTCATATTTAAATAATTGAAGTTCTTCATAAAGACCCCGAGGCCCTGTCTAGATCCCTAAGTACCTTCTGAAGCATAAGGAAAAGATTAGATTATATTCAGCATAGTTTAATGTTAAATATTTTTCACTGAATGCTCATTCTTTGAAAACTGGCAACCCATTGCTATCTCTGTATTAACTAGAATATTTAATTAAACACAACACATAATTCCTTCCTCAGCCATGCCAGATAATATTACATCAAGAATAATAGGTTTGATTTTCTATTTGCTTTCAGGGGACCCTTTTACAGGCGAGAAGCTGATGCTACCCTACCCAGAAGCTCAGAAAACCACATTGCCTTTACCTGTTGCATTCCTTGCAGGGCTTGCTGCAGGAGTTTCAGCTGCTGTTCTTTGTTTGGGTCATCTTCTCTTGGGGCTTTGCCTTGCTCTTGCTTGAGCAGTTCTACTTCATTCCGGTAGGCATCGAGCTGCCAACGGAGGCTGTCATTTTCTTCCTTCAGAGCTTCTGCCTGTGATACTAAGGCTAAAGAATCAGTATAAAATATTAAACCATATATCCAGATTCATCTGTGGTTCATCTGAGTACCCAAAAAGTTGGTTTTTCCTCTTGATGAAGAACTTTAGGTTGGAGTTGGCCATGTCAGCAAGAAATGGACACAAAAGCACACAGGCCCGTTTTTATAAATGAACTAGGATTTCAACACACAAAAGTTCACACCATGTTCCTCATTCTCTACCTCAAGTATAACTAAGATGTTTCTAGGTAACATCAATTTCTTTTATTTGAAATGTAGGAAATGATACCAGTCCTGTAATAATAAAATATAGGACCAATTCCCTTGAATCAACAACTGCCTACACAATAATGTTGCTGACAGATGTTGTTAAAGAATGTAGCATTGAGAAACTTAACCTTGGAATTTCCTGCTGCTCTGTAGCTTCGTATGAAGAGTAAGAGTCTAACTTCAGTTACACTCATTTTATTTTTACTGAGAATGTAAATCTGAGTAATGAAGAATCAAAGTAGTGCCAGAGCTTAGCAGGCTGGGAAGCAAATGCTGAGGGAGATGATTATAGGAGGCACACAAATATGGGAGTCCAAAAAAGGAAATACGAGGCACAGATGGGGTTGTGTTAGTGAATATACAATTCCATTTCAAGATTTCTTAATATGCACGTTTTCATGTACTTCTTTTCAAATAACTGTTAAACAACAATTTGAAACACACACACACACACACACACACACACACACACACACACACACAGAATGTAACATCGACTTGTCCCACAGAGGAAAGGTAAATGTAAAAACTAAGACACAAGATTTCCAGTTTCCAGTCTGGTATGTAAAGATCTTTAGAAGCTGCCACTTTGTCTTACTAACAAGTAAAATGCTGAATAACCTGAAAAATCAACAACTCTTTTTATATTTGCTACAAAGTGTGGTCACAGGGCAAACAGCTGCCCCCAAAACTGGAGATACAGACAGGTGAATATAGAGAATCACAGCTTACTGGACCAAAAACCCATGAGCATAAACCTCTATGGGAACCAATCCCTGGGTAGAAAAACCTAACCTGTAGTTAATGAATTGCTAAAGGCTCAGTGTGGACAAGCCTGTGAGTTAAAAACTCCAGGAGGACCCAGTCATTGGAGAACTCCCACATATTTGTAAGTTTTACCTCCAGGAGATATACCAGGTCCTCACAGTGACTATCAGAGAAAAATCTCCTCATGTTTCTGGCAGGGGAAGGGGAAAAGGAACCATTTTGAAATTGCAGACCATTCTGGTATTCTTCACAAGGCCTGCCCTCAGGAAAAACTGTTTTATCAGACCCTCACCTGCTGGGGTTTCAGAATAACCTAACAGACCTGGGGGAATATAAATATCCAACTGCAGCCCCCTCCAGCCATCCTGTCCCACAAAAGGTGTGTGTATGTGGGGGGTGGGTGAGAGGGGGATAAAACAGAAGCACGGGTGAAGTTCGCAGTTCAGGGACACAGGTTCACCAAAAAACTGAGACCTAATCATAGAACTAGAGAATGCTTTCCCTCCACACCTTACCTCCACATCACTAAAGGGCTACTTATAAGAGTTTCTTTCACCTAGTACAACATGCCCAGATTCTAACAAAAAGTTACAAGGCATACTAAACAGTAGAAAACACAATTTTAAGAGTTAAAGCAAACACCAGAACCAGACTTATATGGAAGAGATGTTGGAATTATCAGACTGAGATTAATATGCAATGGGGTTTAATGAAAACATTAGACAACATGCAGGAACAGATGGATAATAAAAGCAGAAAGAAGAAATTCAAAGAAAGAATAAAATTAAATATTAGAGATCAAAAACACTAGTCGAAATGAAGAATGCCTTTGACGGGGTCATTAGTAGACTGGACCTAGCTAAGGAAAAAAAATCCCTGAACTTGAAGATAGATGATAGAAACTTTCAAAACTGAAAACTTGTCTTAGTCTGTTTTAACTGCTATAACAAAATACCACAAACTGGGTAGCTTATAAACTACAGAAATTTATTTCTCACAATTCTGGAAGCTTGGAGGTCCAAGATCAAGGTGCCAGCAGCTTCAGTGTCTCATGAGGGCTTATTTCCTAATTTATAGATGGTGCCTTCTACCTGTGTCCTCACATTAGGAAGGGGCAAGCTGGCTCTCTGGGGTTTCTTTTATAAGAGCACTAATCCCATTCATGAGGGCTCTGCCCTTATGACCTAATCACCTCCCAAAGGCCTCACCTCCTAATAACACATTGCTGATCAAGTTTCAACATGAATTTTGGGGAACACATAGATTCAGACCATAGCCAAAACAAAAAGAAAAAAAAAACAACAACAGATGCTGGTGAGGTTGTGGAGAAAAAGGAACAGTTTTACACTGTTGGTGGGAGTGTAAATTACTTCAACCACTGTGGGAGACAGCGTGGTGGTTCCTCAAAGACCTAAAGGCAGAAATACAATTTGACCCAGCAATCACATTACTGTGTGTATACCCAAAGGAATATAAATCATTCTATTATAAAGACACATGCACATGTATGTTCATTGCAGCACTATTCAGAATAGCAAAGACATGGAATAAACACAAATGCTCATCAATGATAGACTGGATAAAGAACATGTGGTACATATGCACCATGGAATACTATGCAGCCATTGAAAAGAATGATAACATGTCCTTTGCAGGGACATGGATGTAGCTGGAAGTCATTATCCTCAGCAAGCTAATACAGGAACAGAAAACCAAATACTGCATGTTGTCAGTTATAAGTGGGAGCTGAATGATGAGAACACATGGACACATGGGAGGGAACAACACAAACTGCAGCTTGTTGGAAGGTGGGGGTGGGAGGAGGGAGAGCATCAGGAAAAGTAGCTAATGCACACTGGGCTTAATACCTAGGTGATGGGATGACCTGTGCAGCAAACCACAATGGCATGCATTTAGCTGTATAACAAACCTGTACATCCTGCACATGTAACTCTGACCTTTAAATAAAAGTTGAAAATAAAACAATACTTAAAAAATTGCAAAACAGAATATCTAAGAACTATAGGACCACTATAAAAGGTAGAAGCATATGTAATGGGAATACCTGGAAGGAGAAGAAAGAAAGAAATAGAAGCAATATTTGAAGCAATAATGACTGAGAATTTCTCCCAAATTAATGTCAGATACCAAACCATAGATCCAGGAAGTTCAGAGACCATCAGACAGGATAAATGCCAAAATCCCTTAAGCCTAGGCATATCATATTCAAACTTAAGAAAATCAAAATAAAGAAAAATCTTGAAAGAAACCACAAGGGAAACTAACCACCTTAGCTACAGAGGAGCTCAAATAAACATTATATCTGACTTCTTTTCAGAAATTGTCCAAATAAAAGGATAGTGGAATAAAATATTTATGGAGTTAAGAGAAAAAAAATCAGCAACCTAGAATTCTGTACCCTGTGAAATATGGATTTACATAAAGGAAGAGCATCAAAGAATGAAAAAGTGAAGGTAAAATAAAAACTGTTGGCCAGGTGCGGTGGCTCATGCCTGTAATCCCAGCACCTTGGGAGGCTGAGGCAGGTGGATCACCTGAGGTCAGGAGTTCAAGACCAGCCTGGCCAACATGGTGAAACCCCTGTCTCTACTAAAAATACAAAAAATTAGCCAGGCAGGGTGGTGGGCGCCTGTAATCTCAGCTACTTGGGAGACTGAGGCAGAAGAATTTTACTTGAACCTGGGAGGCGGAAGGTGCAGTGAGCCGAGATCGTGCCATTGCACTCCAGCCTGGACAACAAGAGCGAAACTCCATCTCAAACAACAACAGAACACAAACTTTTTATTTTTCTTCTTAACTGTTCTATTATAGCATATAACTTTTCAAAATAATAACAAAAATGTATTCATTTATTTATGCATAAATATGTATATACAGGTTAACAATCTGTAATGCAAAATGCAAAATCTGAAATGCCCCCAAATCTGAAACTTTTTGAGCACCAACAAGATGATCAAAGGTCATGCTCAAGGGAAGTGCTTACTGGAGTATTTCAGATTTCAAATGTTCAGATTAGAGATGCTGAACCAGTAAGTACAATGCAAATATTCCAAAATCCAAACAAAGTCCAACATCGGAAAAACTTCTGGTCCTAGGCATTGTGGATAGGACATACTGAATCTGTATACAGGCATGCCTCATTTTATTGCATTTAGCTTTATTGAACTTCAAAGATTTTTTTTTTTAACACATCGAAGGTTTGTGGCAGCCCTGTGTCAAGCGAATCTATTGGTGCCATTTTCCTGACAGCATGTGCTCACATTTTGATAAATCTCTGGGTCACATTTTGGTAATTCTCACAATATTTCAAACTTTTTCAGTATTATTGTACCTTTGACACTGATCTGTGTTCAGTGATCTTTGAATTACCACTGTAATTCTTTTGGGTGCCATGGACTGTGTCCATAGAAGACAGCAAACTTAGTTGGTAAATGTGTGTTCTGACTGCTCCACTGATCAGATAATCCCCCATCTTTCTTCCTCTCCTTGGGCCTCCTTATTCCCTGAGACACAACAATATTAAAATTAGGCCAATTGATACACCTTCAATAGCCTCTAAGTGTTCAAGTAAAAGGAAGAGTCACACGTTTCTCACTTTAAATCAAAGCTAGAAGTGATTTAGTTTGTTGAGGAAGGCATGCCAAAAGCCAAGATAGGCTGAAAGCAGTACCTCTTGCACAAAACAGTTAGCCAAGCTGTGAATGCAAGGAACAAATTCTTGAAGGAAATTAAAGTGCTACTCCAGTGAACACAAGAATGATAAAATGAAACAGCCTTACGGCTGATATGGAGAAAGTTTTAGTGACTTCAATAGAACAAACAAGCCACATATTCCCTTAAACCGAAGCCTAATCCAGAGTAAGGCCCTGACTCTCTTAAATTCTATGAAGGCTGAGAGAAGTGAGCTGAAGAAGCTGCAGAGGAAAAGTTGGAAGCTAGCAGAGGCTGG